ACTAACACAGATATCAAACATTGGGATTAAAAACTAGCTAGACATTTTTGTTGTTGTTACATTGCCATCAAATAGGTGCAACTCATAGCAACCCTGTACACAACATAATGAAACACTGCCCAGTCCTGTTCCAAACTCACAATCGTTGCTACGCCTGACCCCTTTGCTGCTGCTACTGTGTCAATCCATCTCACTGTGGTTGTTCTTTTTCTCTGACCCACCACTCTCCCAAATATGATATCCTTCTCCAAGGACTGGTCCTTTCTGTTAATATGTCCAAAGTATGAGACACAAAGTCTGGCTATCCTGGCTTCCAAGGAGCACTCTGGCTGTACTTCTTCCAACACAGATTTGTTTTTTCTTTTTACAGTACATGAGGAAGTCACAGAGTTGAACAGAAAGTTTCAAAGGGCAACTTGAAAAGACAATGTAAATATTATAATGAAATGTGCAAAGACCTATAAATAGAAAACCAAAAGGGAAGAACAAGCTCTGCATTTGTCAAATTGAAAGACCTGATGAAAAATTCAAGTCTCAACTAGAAGTATTGAAGGAATTTTATGGGTAAAATATTGAATGATGCAAAAAGTACTAAAATTACAGAGTCTCTGTACCAAAAATAAATAGTTGATATTTAACTATGACAAAGGTGAGTAAATGATAAAGAACAATGGTACTGAAAGAAGAAGTCCATGCTGCATTGAAGGCATTGGTGAAAAACAAGGTTCCAAGAACTGATGGAATAGAAATTGAATTATTTCAAAAAACTTATGTAGCACTGGAGATGCTCACTCATCTATGCCAAGAAATTTTTGAAAGACAACTACTTAACCAACAAATATGGAAGATATCCATATTTGTGCTCACTCCAAATAGAGATGTTGTTGTTGTTGTTGTTGTTAAGTGCTGTCAAGTCGATTCTGAGCCATAGTGACCCTATACAGGGTCACTTACAAAGACAAGTACATTAGATTAACCCCTGACTATTCAGCACAAACCAGGCACGCAAGAAGGCCATGGGGAGACATACACAAAACCCTAAAAGAAAAAGAAAAACTACCAACCAAGAATCGTCTATCCAGCAAAACTATCAATCAAATATGATGGTGCAATCAAAACATTCCAGGATAAACAGAATATAAGAGATTTTATGAAAACCAATCCAGAACTTCAAAACATCCTAGGAGATCTTTGGACTGAAAACCAACAAGAACAGACAACAACCAAAGATCGACAGGTGTGGCAACACCACCTGGAACTCAGTCGACAGAAAGCAGAGTCCAGAACAGAACAAAACTACAATGAGTTCAAAGGAGCTGGGAGGTGAACCGAAGATCAAAATAATATCAATGTCAAAGAAGGGATAAACACAGGAACAGAGATCCAGGTGGTGAGGATGTCAGGTAGATTACAGGATCCAATTGTTGTTGTTGTTGTTAGGTGCCATCAAGTCGGAACCGACTCATAATGACCCCATGCACAGCAGAACGAAAAAAAGTCCGATCCTGGTCCAACCTCACTACCACTGCCACACTTGAGTCCATCAATGCTGCCACCTGGCCAATCCATCTTGTTGGGGGGTCTTCCTCTTTTTCTCTGACCCTCCATTTTACCAAACATGACATCCTTCTCCAATGACTGTTCCCTTCTAACAATATGTCCAAAGTATGAGAGACGAAGTTTGGCCATCTTGGCCTCTAAGGAGCTCTACAATAGATTCTCTTGAATGGAGAGAAAAGTTAATAGACTCTAAGGTAACCCCAAAGAAAGTTAATACTTCACAACTTAGTTCCCCCATCTTGAGAAATGCTTAGCGTGTTCTTCCTTTTTGTTTTTCTGATTCCAGATCTTGGCACATTTTGTTGTAATATTTGACTTTATCTTCTCAAGCTGATCTTTAAAATTTTCTGTTCAGCTCTTGGACCTCATTTCTTCCATTTGCTTTAGCATCTCTACACTGGAGAGCAAGTTTCAGTGTCTCTTCTGACATCCATTTTGACCTTTTCCTTC